AGCAGTAGTAGTAGTATTACTAGTAGTAGTAGTAGTAGTAGTAGTAGTATTACTAGTAGTAGTAGTAGTAGTAGTTGTTGTTGTTGTTGTAGTTGTAGTAGTAATAGTAGCAGCAGCAAGGGATTGGCTATAGGCCTGGAGGGCTTGAGGATTTCAGGGTTCATCCGGCTTCAGTGGCATTCGCTGCTACTGCAATCACTACAACGAAGACGATGACGGCTACTACCACAACTCCCACAATGGCTGAAAGCATTGAGCATCTCAAACTGCCAGCCCGAAGCTTCCGTCTCACTTTTGCGCACGAACAACCTTGTAAAGAAAGACTCAGAAGGGCTCAACGCGAGACAGTACGGGTTTATTTAGACTGTAAGAATATGCGGATTGATTCCCAAAACCCCAGGAATCAAATCCCCTGATCAATCTACCCTAAGATGGAGCTTCCAAGGCGCAATAAAAGCCGCCTGCTCCGGTTTTCCATTCCACCGGGCCTCAAACGGTTCGGGGTTCAGGGCTTAGGGTTTAGGTTTTGCATCTTACGGTCTAGGCTTTAGGGTTTATCAAGGCTTAGGGTGTAGGATTTCGGTTTTACGCTCTAGGGTTGAGGGTCTTTTTCTTAACACATGTTAGACCGTCCCAAACTAAAGTCGAGTCTCCTCAATCACAGAAGCAATGTGAGACTGAAAGGAAGGGTTTAGGCTTAGGTTTCATGGGCTTTCGGGCTTGGGGTTTAGGTTTAGGCTTTCACACCGAGCTGCTTTAGAGCCTCCGGGCGCAGTCAGTGTTATTTTCAGGTTTCCTGCAGGGGACACTGGGTTTAAGCCTTTTGGGATCAGGATTTGGGGCTTCAGGGTTTGAGCAGTGTTGAAGTTTAAATAAATTTGGGGTCAGAAGCTGATGAGTTAGGGTTTAAGGTTGAGAGCGAGTGTTTCTTGGTGTCAAAGAGAATTATGCCACGAGCATGCATTTTACGCATGCTTGCTCACAAAGGTGCAACATTATTCATTATGCATTATGTTGTATATGTACATGCATATACATGTAAATGCACAGGCATGTGAATGCTTGCAATTACGCATGCACCGAAAGCATAAACGCACAGGCGCATACATGTGTTGTCTGTTTGCATTACCGCGGTATGCCTTACTGCCACAATACAATAGGCCGCCACTTCCGAGCGAAATGAAAGAACCATTCTAAGTAGCTGCCTCACTAATCGTTCCAGCTTATCCTGCGACTTTAGCACCCGGTAATCTAGGGTGCAGAGCCGACTTGCCGTGTTCTGATTCCCTTATATCCTGACTCGACGAAGGTCTGTGTGTTTGTGTGAGTGCGCAGTTGAGTCGGTCTTGTAGTATCTCAGTATGACGCGCTTATGAGGTGCGTGGCAACAATACGCAGCCACAATGGCTATCGCAAGACCATATTTCTGCAAGTTGGGGACACATATACACATCTGATTTTTATGGCGTCGTAACAATGCACACCAAAACACGGGCCTTCCTTCCTTTACTCATTCAGGGATACACACACGCACCAGCTTTTGCATGCACTGTTGATGTGCTTGCACTACTATGGTATGCTCTACTACCACAATACAAAGTGCACAGCAGATGCACCGCCGCTTCCAAGCGAAAACATCAAACTTGAAGCAATTACTTCATACATCGTTCCAGCTTAGTCTACAACCTCAACACTCGGTAATCTCGGGTGCGGAGCCGACTTTCCGTGTTCTGAAACCCCGATGTCTTGACCCGTTGAAGGCTGTGTGTGTGTGTGTGAATACTCAGTTTGGTCTTTGTTGTAGTATCTCAGTATTTCAACGTGACTCAATGACTTAGCATGAAGGGCCCCACAACAAAACACTTCTACGCTGACTGTCGCAAGACTGAATTTCTGCAAATTGACGAACACATATACACATGTGCTTTGTACGGTGCCGTAATGTACACAGGTTACGAGGTCGGTGACTTCATCCATGCTTAGGCCAGTATGTGTATGCATATACAGATAAGTGGATAGATGGAAAAAATAGATAGATAGACTGATAGACAGGTAGACAGATAGATCGAAGGTAGTTGGATACTATATCTACCCGTATGTCTATAATGTATATGCGGACATAAAAAGCAAACCTCCAGGTGTAGAATGGACCTTTCTGTCGCAGAATCTAGGGCAGCTCACATCTATTCTAAGACGTGGCGCGGCGGTATATGACATAGTAACCCGACACGTGTTGAAACGATAATTTGGGAATGATAAGACTTCAGGGTTCCTCCCTAAACCCTAAACCCTAAACCCTAAGTCCCTAGACCCTAAACCCCAAAGCCCTTATGGTCCTGGCCCCCTCTGCCCTCCATCCTTGCGACTTGGTCAAGCCTGCCGGGCAAGCAGTAAGCAAACCCACGAGAAGAACCCTAAGCTCACTAACACAACATCGAAACCCCCAAGTCGTAGACGGCTAACTCAACCTTAAAGAAGAACTTGCGGCAACTATCTGTTCAAGAGCCTCCTGGGCGGCACCGGGCTTGCCGACGCCACCGCTAGCGTCGGTAAGCCCTAAACCTACACCCTGCATTCTGGATCCTCAGCCGTAAACTCCAAATCCCAAAACCTCACCCCCCAAGCCCGGGCATGTCTCAAACCCCCAAAAAGACGCCGCAAGACCACCAGAACTCCCCCCTTACAAAAAAGCCCCTCATCCCAACACCCCGAAGGCCCTCAGAAACCCCAGTAGGAGCCTTTGCAAGCCCTTCTTCGAGGAGGCTCCTGGTGCTGAGCTCCCTGCACTCTGTGCTGACTTCGCAGTCCTTTATTGCTTCTCCTTCCGCGAAGTGTTGGGGGCTCCAAGGCTTAGGGCTTCCTTTTTTGTAGAGCGGGGGGGGCGGGGAGGGGTTTAGGGTCTTCGGAGCTTTTGCGCTTTTTGGGGCTTTGGGGGCTCAGGGATCGGCGTGCCGCGGCGATGTCGCAGCACGGAGAAGAAGAGGAACACCCCAGATCCTGAGCCCTTAACCCAAAGATGCCTAAACCCTGTATGCGAAGAAGACGAAGAACAAGAAGCGCAGAAATAGGGAATCTTGCCATGATGGCAAAAGTAGAAGGAAGTATGGCAACAAGATTGGAGATAGCAATGACTTTAGGAAAGGTTAATACTGCTGTCAGTACTAACAACGGCAGCAATCCAAAGCTCAAGATTCAGGGCAGCATGGTACTAACAATAAAATAATGATGGAAACTTCTTTCTCAATGCAGCGGAAGCTTCTAGCAATTATAATTCCACAACCGAGACTAACTGCAAGCAATGGTAACACCAGTAGTAAAGTAATAATCGCAAAACTGACTGCTGGTTCCCAAACCCCTAAAGCCCTAAATCCCTCAACCCCTAAACCCTAAACCCTAAACCCTAAATAAAGGTAATAATAGCAAAACTGACTGTTGGTTCCAAACAAGCATCCCCGTCGCCTGTCTCGCCGTGTACGCGGCTTCGAGTGCGGGGGTGTGTGGGTTGTAGGGCTCTTGGGGCTTAGGGCTCAGGGTTGATGGGTGTAATAGAGGGGGCCTTAATAATTAGAAGAGGGTTTTGGGGCACGTTATACTATAATGATGATAAGGAACCCCCAAAAACAGAATTGGCAATTATACCCTAAACCCTAAACCCTAAACATTTAGGCCCCTACATTAGGATGGCGGTTTAGAGCCCAGGGAGCCGACTGAGGATTTCGGTGAGAGGGATTTTTGTCTCTGATGGCAGATAAAGATACCTGAAAGGCCGTCAGGAAAGCCCGAAAGACGAGGTGAAACTCGGGGCGCTGGATTTCTTTTTTTCTTCGGCTCAAATTCCGGCATCTTGGCTCATGCTTTGACTGAGCCCTCGGTTTCGAGACGCCTCAGAAACGTTGGAGCTCGAGCAGCAGACGGAAAGGCAGCGAAACACTGCGGCTCCACAGGTGGACTGGGGCTTTGAAGGTTCAGGGCCATGAAGCTTAGGGCCCTTTTGGGCTTTCCGGCGTTTTTTCGCCTTCGGGGGCTCCAAAGAGAGCTACTTCGAAGGGCGACTCAGACTCCTCGCCCTTTTTTTCTGGTACCAGGCCCAGCGCAGCTCATCTTGATCCTGTCGGACCTGCGCCCCTCCCAAGCGGAGGATGAGAGCTTGCAGCTGGTCGAGATCCACCACGGGCTGCAGTCCATGTGCCACACGAGATCCAGCCGATGGTGACAAAGCCCGGATCTTTCCCACGCTCTTCTTGAGCTCTTCCATCTCTGACGTCGCAATGCCAAGCTCCGTCAGAAAGTCACGGCGACGCTTCAGTTCCTGCAGCTCGTCGCGGAAGCAAGAGTCGCAAGCTGCAACAAGATGCTTCAGTTTAGACTGGCTCCGCCGGAGGGCCCTCAGGCGCTTCGACTGCCAGGCGATCATGCCTTCGTTGCGGAGTCCATAGGCCCAGAAAAGTCTACACTTTCAGTTCAGAAAGGGATCATACACGTAATCCCCAAAAGTCAAAAAACTATATATGTATATATATATACAGCGATCATCTTATCCCAAAACGTCTAAAAGTCCACTCACTCGGCCAGGACGCGCGACTCGAAGTGGGCGAAGCCCAAAAGCCGGAGCTTCTTCGGCTTCGGGGCCATGGTCGCGTGAGTTCCTACCACCTTCGCGAACACGAATAGTATAGTAGAGTATAGTATGATATAGCCTAATATATAATATAGTATTCTATATAGGATAGTATAGTATCTGGTACTAGTACAGTCTAGTCTAGTCTAGTCTTTATAGCATAGTATGTTATAATGTGCTATAATGTGTTATAGTTTAATCCTATAAGGAAAAATCGCATATCCATACTCGATGTCCTGAAGGAACGCTTCGTGAAGCTACTGGTGCTGCTCTCTCCGTGTAGCTATGAGAAGGACATCCCATGCACTGCCTGTGGACGCGGGATGCTGCAAGAGAAAAGCTATGCTGCAGACACTCAGCAAAAGAAGTCCTGCGTCGTGCAAAGGATTACGAGAGATTTTCAGCTATCATGGCAGCATGCCCCTGCGTGTTGTGAGGTAGATCCTCCGGCATGTCATGGTCCGTACCATAGTGTCATACTCCACTAACCATGGAATCAGGATTCTATCATGCTCGACTGACATGAATGACCACATCTCGACAAAATCTACAGCATAGTTGGATGACGTTCCCAGGCTTCCCCGTCATAGAACGCTAGGACGTGGCAGGGGTAAGAGGCCAGGGGTGCTCAAGTGCTTGGGTGACTCGGTTTTTTTGGGGTAGATGGCAGGATGTTCCTCAGCAGAGCTTTCGGGTTTAGGCCGGTTTAGGGTTCAGGGTTAGGGGCCTTCAGAAGAGAGGGCGCGGGTAGTGCTTATCGAGTTTAGCATCTGGGGGTGTCGAGCTTCGGGGCGGCGGTGGTGGTGCTGTTGCTGGCACGATTGGCTTTAAACCAGCATCCATAAACCCGAAGTCGTCGAAACCCTAAACCCTAAACCCTAAATCAGTTAAGGGTTCCCGAAGTCTAAACACTACACCCTAAAGGCTCAACATGTGACCATAGCACAGGCACCTCCGCTGGCAAGAACATCCTCGACAACATCCGCCTTCCGAGGAAACAGAGACCCATGTCGCGGAGCTTGGGGCTGAGGCTCGGGGGCTGCTAGTGTTAGTATTATTGTCACTACTTGCTTTCTCCTGACCCTAAACCCTAAACCCTAAACCCTAAACCCTAAACCCTAAACCTGAAACCGTGTCCTGATTATTCTTATCTTAAGCTGCCTAAGGCCTTGGCCTGGGGAGCCAGAGCTTCATGGCTCAGGTCTGAG